GGATGCTTCGTGTAAGATGGGGATGCTTCGTGTAAGATGTGGGATGCTTCGTGTAAGATGTATATGCTTCGTGTAAGATGTGGATGCTTCGTGTAAGATGGGGATGCTTCGTGTAAGATGTATATGCTTCGTGTAAGATGGGGATGCTTCGTGTAAGATGTATATGCTTCGTGTAAGATGGGGATGCTTCGTGTAAGATGTATATGCTTCGTGTAAGATGGGGATGCTTCGTGTAAGATGTATATGCTTCGTGTAAGATGGGGATGCTTCGTGTAAGATGTATATGCTTCGTGTAAGATGGGGATGCTTCGTGTAAGATGTATATGCTTCGTGTAAGATGGGGATGCTTCGTGTAAGATGTATATGCTTCGTGTAAGATGGGGATGCTTCGTGTAAGATGTATATGCTTCGTGTAAGATGGGGATGCTTCGTGTAAGATGTATATGCTTCGTGTAAGATGGGGATGCTTCGTGTAAGATGTATATGCTTCGTGTAAGATGGGGATGCTTCGTGTAAGATGTGGATGCTTCGTGTAAGATGTGGATGCTTCGTGTAAGATGTATATGCTTCGTGTAAGATGGGGATGCTTCGTGTAAGATGGGGATGCTTCGTGTAAGATGTATATGCTTCGTGTGTGCTCCGTGGATATTGAAGAGTCAAGAATAATTCCCAAGACGTCAATTTCCCCACTGATCACTAGGGTTTGACTTCACATTTGAATATCTGTCCAATTTACAATATCGTGTTTTCTCATTATCATCATAATATGTGCTCTTTCCGTCGCAAATGTGACTTACTGTCACCTTGTGCCAGGTAGACATTATACCTGGCAGTGTGTGTTTGAATAATGACCCTTGGAGCAGTTGGTATTTCTCATTTTCCACGTGAAAAGGTTAGAATGTAGCCATCACCAGAGGCTAGAGCTTCAGGAATTAAGTGCAGTAGCTCGCTGAAATAGACATTCCACAACGAAAGGCCAAGCACTCAATCCTGCCGTAGCTGGAACCAGTTATGTGGCCTTGGCAATCGGCCCCATTGAGGACTACTATTAAAGTTATGTGACACCAGTGATACCATGTGCTGGAAGATTTGCTTTATTAGTTTAGTGTCATTTACAATCAAAAAGCAATTTCGAGTAAAAAAAAAAAATACAGCTGATTTTGGAGTTATTATAGGAGATATCGGAGGCCTGGTCGAGGACCGGGCCGCGGGGACACTAAGCCCCGAAATCATCTCAAGATAGATCTCAAGAGATCCAGTGACGGATGCCGCCTGGTAAAGAGCTTTAGCAAAAGGTCAGGAGCAGAACGACCTTTAATAAAGCCAAATTGTCGAGAGCGTATTAACCGATCATAGTCGAAAATGGCTGTCATGCTGAGAGATTAATATCTCGTAAATTTTGCCAGTAATTAAAAACAGGAACACTGTAGTTACCGATTACTGAACGATTCTTCCTTTTATGGACAGAAACTACATCAAAATTCTTCATTTGGGAGTGCCAAATTCTTTGAGCTAGGCTAGCTTAACAGAGGCCTGTGACATGCAGGTCCAAGCTACAGCGTGTATACCTGTGGAACATAAGAACGTAAGAACAAAGGTAACTGCAGAAGACCTTTTGGCCCATGCGAGGCAGCTCCTATTTATAACCCCCCAATCCCACTCATAAACATGTCCAACCCTAAGGTCTAGAATTAGCCTTATCCGGTCCCACTGCCTTTTAAAAGTTCAGTGATAGAAGTAAAGTGTGGACTTCAACCTGTCAAATAACCACTATAGAACACGTTAACGCAGTGGTTGGATCAAGCTGTTGAGAATGGTGTAGCAGGTCAACCTTTTACTGATTGTAACAGAACGATTTTCTCAGTTTAGTTAGATTGGGTGCTCAGATAAATGTCTCTTGTCAGACTTGAAGCAGAGACCACCAGTCTTTGGATGCCAACGTTTCGTGTTGCATGTTTTTCTTCCTGTTTCTGATTCCCGTATAGTACAAAAGGGAACATATAGATCCCCCCTTTTTGAACTGTTTTCATTTGACGATTTGCTTGTCTGTGAGAGTTGATGTTGTGGGTTAAATGAGGAGTTTTATATTTCTACCATTCCTTTTGTATTGGACTCACCTGTCGCCCCTTCAAAGGTAAACTCTCTCTCTCTCTCTCTCTCTCTCTCTCTCTCTCTCTCTCTCTCTCTCTCTCTCTCTCTCTCTCTCTCTCTCTCTCTCTCTCTCTCTCTCTTCATTCCGACAATCCTCTTCGTGGTAACACGAGCATCAGTAGAGAATTTTTGTGAAAATTGAGAAGAGCGCCACTCAGATAGTATTTATCGCCGGCCACAGCAGGTGGAACAAAGAAATGGAACCGATTCTCTATTCCACAACAGGTGCGACCCTTTGTACCATTGCGATGGTTCGTCGATATCAATGGTGGAGAGGGAAGCTGAGTATTGTGGGATGGTGGTGTAGTATTGTGGTACACACCACTGGATCATCCTCTCCCCACTCTCACACCAGTTGCACCTTCTTCTCATCCTGTCATACTCGCCCCCCACTCTCAACCTCCCCCACCACACCCCCTACACTCAATATCTCTCCCCACGCACAACCTGCCACTCCGTACCCCCTCTACACCTCCAATCACCCATTAAAGTTGGCAACATTAAGAGTTAATAAGCTAATAAACCAGCAAGACAAACACACACACACACACACACACACACACACACACACACACACACACACACACACACACACACACACACACACACACATGTAAGACAAAACAGCAGCTTCAGCGACTCATCCGCCCACGCACAAGAACATGATATACAAGACGTTTCAGCAGGAAATATGAAAGCATGGCTCCCCCTGGGAAAGGGCTGAGAGCTCTCAGGAACACTCCGGGTCTCACAGTGCATTATTTCCTCCAGAGAAACAGAGAACGTTTATAGCCATCTTGTTCCTAATGTTTTGGAAGGGGAAAGCGCCAAGCCATTACGACTATAGCACTGGGAAGGGGTCAGGATAAGGATTTTGAGATGGGACTAGGGGGGGGGGAGGAAAGGAATGGTGCCCAACTATTCAGACGGTTGGGGATTGAACGCCGGCCTGCATGAAGCTTTCAATCCACGACTGTCCAAGTGGTTGGGCATCATTGGAGGCTTCCAAGATGGTGTAAGCTACTGACTACTACCAAGATGGTGGTTAAGGCTTCTGGCTATTCCCAGTACCCAATTCTCAGGTCATAGAGGATATTATTTCATCTTAAAATCTGGTAGTGATGTAGGAGGCTAGTGATTTCTATCAAGACTCAATGTGACATGTCGTAAAGGTGTTGTTGACTAGTACTTAGATAGAATACTCATGGTGTAGTGACCCAATCATCATGTCATATTGTCATGATATGTAAATTGTTACATATTGAGATACTAATGACGTAGAATCCATACTGACGCCTACTAAAACTGTTGTATTTGTTGTATTTTCCTTACGCGATTTGTAGAATTTTAAAGGATTAAAATTTGTTTTGTGTGTGCAACTAATAATTTACTAAATGGGAGCAATAGTAACCTGAAACATCTGTTTCATACGTTAAGACTATAAGTCTCTCTACTTCACAAGCTGACTTAAAAACCACAAGTCTCTCAGCTTCAAGGGTTGACTAAACACATCAAACTTCAGCTCCAGGAGTCAACTGAAAAATCCCCAACTGTTTCGTCAAGTGTTCCATGCTGTCAACGTCTCTGAGTTATAATGCATCGTATTCGTGAAATAATTGATCGCGATCCACATGTTTCGAGAGTGTGAGTGGCACTGGGGCCTTACCCAAGCACGGGGTGCGGGCCCCAGGGAGGGAGGACATCACCCTAGGGAAGACCTTGAGGGAGATCCTGCTCATGGGGAGGAGGAAGACCTAGAACCCCTTGGGGAGAGAGGTCTTACTGGAGGATGAAGGGGGTTGGGGGAAGAGACGTACATTTAAAGGAGAGTGGGATGGAGGCAATGCCGTTAAAGGAGAGAGAGAGAGAGAGAGAGAGAGGGAGATGAGGAGAGAGGAGAGTGCGATGAGATGGAGAGTGCGAAGGAGAGAGAGGAGGAGAGAGAGAGAGGAGGAGGAGAGGGGAGGAGGATGAGGAGAGAGAGGCGAGAGAGAGAGAGAGAGGAAGAAGAAGAGAGAGAGAGCGAGAGAGAGAGAGAGAGAGAGAGAGAGAGAGAGAGAGAGAGAGGGGAGAGGGGGAGCGAGAGAGGAGAGGAGAGACAAGCCATTACGACTATTTAGCACTTGGAACAGGTCAGGAAAAGGATTTAAGATGGGGCTGGAGGAAGGAACGGTGCCCAACCACTTGGACGGTCGGGGATCGAACGTCGACCTGCATGAAGCAAGAACGTTAGAGAGAGAGAGAGAGAGAGAGAGAGAGAGAGAGAGAGAGAGAGAGAGAGAGAGAGAGAGAGAGAGAGAGAGAGAGAGATGGAAAATTCGAGGGATGTCATTACTCGCGGGATCCGAAAAGCAAGGAAGGAAAATAAAGAAAAGGGAAAACTAATAAACAATAATCAAGTAAGCAAAAAAAATGTCTTCCAAGAAAGGTGGATCTGGTGTTTTCTCGCTTGTGTTTTATGCTAACTAAACCCTCATTATTTTTTCTAGCTTATTCTAATTTTTTTTTTTGTAATCACTGTATTTTGTCTACTTCTCTGTCTCACAATTTTAATTTATTCTTCTATATGTATAAATATAAATGTCTGTTTCGTCGAGTCTGGTCTTCAGACTCACCCAATTTTGCACAGTAATTGCTGGTGGATATGTGCCCAACATAGGCAGATTGGGGGGTTGGTACATTTAAAGCGAGTACTATGTGACAGTACGAAAGACACTACCATGGTGAATCTTGCAATAGTATTATGGCTCGACTCTGAATTATTATTTGTTCTTACTATATCATAAAAATCTGGATCCCCGCCCAATTCCTCCTAGAAGGGAAAACCAGCCACAGTAAACCTTCTTCACAAAGTCTGAATAAGTGAAATGTTCGTCTACAAGTCCGTAGACTTTAACGTTTGTTTAAACAGTCGTGAAGTCAGATACTGACTTTGAAAGCAAGTGTTTTAGGCGACATATTTGCATTCTGGGCGCAATCGTTTGTTGACAATGATGGGAGAAGGCGTGTGTGTGAGTAGGGAGAGAGGTGATAGTGGAAGAGGTGTGTAGGAGGGGGACATCTGGAGGCCGTGAGAGAATTTGTTCTCACCTGGTCGACCTGTATTGAGCCTAAGGAGTGGATATATAGCACCAGGTCCTATATTACTTGCTATAACATAGGCGATAAGCTGTAAGCTGGCCGTTGGTAGTTGGAGGAGAGTGTTTGACATGTAGAGCTTCAGCTATCTCTAGTCTTCCATTTGTCGATACTCTGCCTCTCTGGGAAGTCAAGGAGAATGCAAACTGGATGCCGACGAACTTTGTCCAGTTATCACTCCCATTGTATACTCCACAGGAACGTCGGTGGAGTGAGATCCATTTCATCTTGTTGGGGATCAGATTCCTCCAACAGGAATCAGATTCAAGCTCCAGCATGGAATCCCTCCCGTTTCTTGGGATCAAATTCCTTCCCTGGAATAGCAGACGCCTTTTCCGGAAGAGAATGGGTTCAATCCTTGGGAAACACCATCCCGTATTGGGATCTGATTCCTCACCCAGATCACATACCGTCGGGGCAGGGAACAGATCCCTTCCATAGGAGGATCGAATCCCTCCTAAAGAGATCTGATCCTTCGGGAAATCAGGTCTCTCTTCTGGGATATCACATCCCTACTCTGTAAGATCATGTCTCTTCCCTAGGAAATCAGATCCCTCTGGGAGATCAGATCTCTCCCCTGGGAGATCAGATCTCTCCCCTGGGAGATCAGATCCCTCCCTGGGAGATCAGATCCCTTCCCTGGGAGATCCGATCCCTCCCCTGGGAGATCAGATCCCTCCCCTGGGAGATCAGACCCCTCCCCTGGGAGATCAGATCCCTCCCCTGGGAGATCAGATCCCTCCCCTGGGAGATCAGATCACCTCCCTGGGAGATCAGATCCCTCCCCTGGGAGATCAGATCCCTCCCCTGGGAGATCAGATCACCTCCCTGGGAGATCAGATCCCTCCCCTGGGAGATCAGATCACCTCCCTGGGAGATCAGATCACCTCCCTGGGAGATCAGATCCCTCCCCTGGGAGATCAGATCCCTCCCCTGGGAGATCAGATCACCTCCCTGGGAGATCAGATCCGTTCCCTGGGAGATCAGATCACCTCCCTGGGAGATCAGATCCCTCCCCTGGGAGATCAGATCACCTCCCTGGGAGATCAGACCCCTCCTCCGGCAGGATCACGGGCAACAGACGAGGGCAAGAATTGCAAGCGTCAAATAAAACTTTCAAGTGAGAATTAATGGTCTTCAACTTTTGCATTTGCCAGGATTTAATAAAGTAGAAGTATGAGAGTCGCTTGAGGGCAAGGGGGAGGTGGGGAGCCGCTTGAGTCGGGTGGAGCAGTCACTTGAAGTGTCGCTTGAAGTGTCGGTGTAAGAGGGAGGGGGGGGCGTCACTTGAGGTAGGGGGTATTGGAGGTTGGAGGTGTCGCTTGAGGGGGAGGGTGTCACTTGAGGTGAGGGGGAAGGTGTCACTTGAGGGGGTAGTAAAGAAGGAGCATACCTAACAGTACTGACCTGACAGTGCCTATGGGTAGGTGAGGTCTAGCTCTTAATGCCCCCGCCCTATACGAGCCTTGTTGCTGTAGCTTAACTTATAAATTCTTTGTCGAATGTGGCCTTAAAGTTGTGGATGGAGGTGGCTTCCTCGACTTATGTTTTCAGTACATTCCACTTGTTGACCGCTCGTATATTTCGTGACGTTTGGTCAACTATGCTTCCTGCATTGTGTTTCTGCGTTTCCTCTTCATAGTCTCATTTCTCCCATTCCCATCTTTATTACATTGCACTTGTTGGGGGTTAAACTCAAATAGCCATTTGTCTTCCCTGTTTTGACGTTTGTCAAAATCTACCTTCAAATCTGTGCAATCCTCAGTTTCTACATTCCTCATTAGTTTTGCATCATCAGCAAACATAGAAATGAGCTTATTCCTTCGGGTAGAACAGTTACATAGATTATGTTCAACAATTGTACCAGGACCGAGCCATGGGGTCAATAACCTCCAGCTCGACAACTCTCTGAGGTCATTTGTTTCCTGTCCATAAGGTACACTTTTTATCCAGAGCCTTCAAAGATATCCCAGTAAGCTTCTCAAGCTTATACACCAGCCTTTCATGAGATGCAACGCAGTCTACCCAGCCTTCCATTTCCTATTTTTTGTTGGTGACTTTGCCATTGAACTCCATTAATTTCATCTCTTAGGGTTAAGTAATATCTTTGGGTATGTTGGAGGAGGTGAATATGGAGGTGTTGGAGGAGGCAGTGGTGGAGGTGAGGAAGATGAAGGTGAAGGAGAAGACTGTGGTGGTGGAGATGCCTGAGGATACAGTGACAGGTGAAATGAATATATTCATCAAATAATTCACAATCGTTAATATTCTGGTATGGGTAGAAATGATGGCTGTAAACAGCATATAACCACCTCAGCAGGGGCGTCTAAAGATATCATCTTGTCTATGAGTCTCAGCATCACTGTTGACCAGACCACACATTAGAAGGTGAACGGACGACGACGTTTCGGTCCGTCCTGGACCATTCTCAAGTTTATTTGAGAATGGTCCAGGACGGACCGAAACGTCGTCGTCCCTTCACCTTCTAGTGTGTGGTCTGGTCAACATACTTTAGCCACGTTATTGTGACTCCTCACTCAGCATCACTGGTTCATACCTTTATCTCGGTTAATATCTTTATTGACCTTTGTAAAATACCTTCCAGATAAATAGTATCTTCATCTCTAGTCAAGATCTTTATCATTAATATCAATGTCTGAAGAAATTGGGTCTACGATTCATTGCATTTACTGAGTCTTCACAAAGGGGTTTTTCTCGATTAATATATTTTCAGAATTCCGAAGTTTTCTCTTTGGATATCTCCCCAGAAAATGGTCTATGAAGTAATATGCTCTGGGCCTCGACTGATGCTAATGTCTTCCGTGCAGACAAAAATGCTCATTTAAGATAATATCCCGAGCCATCAGAACTACTCTCTCGAAGTATAACGACGGGCCCTCAGAGGTGCACACACACACACACACACACACACACACACACACACACACACACACACACACACACACACACACACACACACACACACACACCAGTGGATTTCCCCAGGATTCTGTTCTCGGACATAACCTGTTTTTATATATATGTAAATGACGATATTTTATTGATGACCAGACGAAGGAGGCTTGATGCCTCGTGTGTGTGTGTGTGTGTGTGTGTGTGTGTGTGTGTGTGTGTGTGTGTTGCCTGCAACACCAGTTCACTTGACAACCTGGTAGTTAACAACATTCTCCTTCCTTCCAGGAGGCCCCGGGTGAAGGTCAAGATGCTGCTGCTGTGGGGTCAAGACTTCACTGGTCCATTCACTCTGCAACATTAACTACTCGACCGGTTATATTGCTCCTGGAGTAAGGAGACTGCATGGTGAGTTAACTCTGTGTTAGTGGTTGTCTCTCTCTCTCTCCCACCTCCCTCTCATCCTCTTCTCTCTCTATATATTCCTCACTCGTCTCCTTCTCTCCCCACTTTTATTTTTGTATATCTATATTCCTCCCATTTATTCATTCTCTTTCTACCTTCTCCATCTCTCGCCCGCTTTCTGGGTTACTCCATAATCCACTTACCTGCATTCTTATCTCACAAATTGCTAATTCCTCCCATAAACCAGGTTAGTTGTCTTACAACTTTCTTTCGGTGTTCAGCACCACTTTCTCTCAGTCATACACAGTCTTAGTCATACACAGTCTTAGTCATACACTGTCTTAGACATACACTGTCTTAGTCATACACTGTTACACACTATCTTTGCCATACACGGCATTTTCCAAGCATTTTGTTCCCTCTCCTTTTCAATAACAAATGTTATTATGGTGAACATTTTAAGGCTCGCGTTACCAAGGTTGTGGGACTTGATCCTGTCAGTAAAAGCGAGATGCAGACACCAACTAGTAAGGCAGACAGATAGCAAGACAAGCAAGCAGACAGACAGCTAAACTAGTTCAAGAGCAGCGAGTCTGTTCACACGACAGTGTGTTCGCCAGGAGAATGCTGCTCCAGGTCTTTGATAGTGAGGATCAAGCCGATTCCAGATCCCTATAGTCACTCTTGCTCCCGATACTGGCAACAGGAGGAGTCTGGTGGGGACTGGAAAAGCCAATACAGAAAGTAAAGGGTTTTTGGTGTTGGGGAGATACAGGGGCCACGAGATGAAAGGACCAGGCGAAGATACGTTTGGCAAAAGGGTTGGATTCAGGGGGAGAAAGGTATGCAATATCAAGAAGAGGTTTATGCAATCCTCAGGCTTTAAAAAAAAAGCCTTTTCTAAATCAAAACTGCAGGAAAATAGTAAATGTAGGCACTTTAACGTGATATCTTTGCCATAGCTGCCATATCAAACGTGATATGGCAGGTTGTGTTACAGGCACAATTTGGATGGTGTTATGGGATAGACATAGGGTAAGGGTTGGGTAAGTTAAATGCCATAAGAAATATTAGCAATTATTAAAATCGTTCCATGAGATAGTCATGGAATAGAGAGTGAAATATGAAGTGTGATTAACGTGGAGTTTTGTAATCATTATATTTTTTCTGGGAGCCTTTTCAGTGCTTCTCTCAGAAAATTATTTTTCTCAGAAAAGAAGGGAGGGGAAAGCAAGAAGGGATGGGAGAAGGGGGAAGAATGAAGGGGGGATGTAGACAATAAGGATGAGGACAAGGGAATGAAGGGGATAGATGGTGTGAGAGGGAATGAGGAGAGACCCGGATGGTAAACGGACATATCAGACTGCTTGATAATATTATGGTGGGGAAGTATGGTATGGCAATAAGGGAAGAGAGGGCGAGGAAGGGGTTAAAGGGAAGATGTCGTGAGAAAGGGAAGAAGACAAACTATCCCAGGCACCCCCTCCCCCTTTCCCTCTCTCTCTCTCTCCCGGCACAAAAAAAGAGCCCCTCTCACAAGACAGGAGGAAAGAGAGGCGACTGAAGTGAACTTTTCCCATTATCGAGCTGCCAATACTCACACCCAGTGTGTTTAAGTGCCCAGAAAATGGTCCAACTTTCATGTTTTTACTTAATGAACTATTGTGCCATTTTAATTAGCTAATTCTGGAATATTTTGGATGTGGTCGTGATTTTTGTTTCTACTTGGAATTTTGCGGTTTGTTGATGAATGGGGCTTGTGATTTGGTGTTTGTTTTGTTTGTTATCTCGTGTTTGTCATTGGTGTTTATTTGTTGGTGATTGTGGACTCACTTGTTGGTGATTGTGGACTCACTTGTTGGTGATTGTGGACTCACTTGTTGGTGATTGTGGACTCACTTGTTGGTGATTGTGTACTCACTTGTTGGTGATTGTGGACTCACTTGTTGGTGATTGTGGACTCACTTGTTGGTGATTGTGGACTCACTTGTTGGTGATTGTGGACTCACTTGTTGGTGATTGTGGACTCACTTGTTGGTGATTGTGGACTCACTTGTTGGTGATTGTGTACTCACTTGTTGGTGATTGTGGACTCACTTGTTGGTGATTGTGGACTCACTTGTTGGTGATTGTGGACTCACTTGTTGGTGATTGTGGACTCACTTGTTGGTGATTGTGGACTCACTTGTTGGTGATTGTGGACTCACTTGTTGGTGATTGTGTACTCACTTGTTGGTGATTGTGGACTCACTTGTTGGTGATTGTGGACTCACTTGTTGGTGATTGTGGACTCACTTGTTGGTGATTGTGGACTCACTTGTTGGTGATTGTGGACTCACTTGTTGGTGATTGTGGACTCACTTGTTGGTGATTGTGGACTCACTTGTTGGTGATTGTGGACTCACTTGTTGGTGATTGTGGACTCACTTGTTGGTGATCGTGGACTCACTTGTTGGTGATTGTGGACTCACTTGTTGGTGATTGTGGACTCACTTGTTGGTGATTGTGGACTCACTTGTTGGTGATTGTGGACTCACTTGTTGGTGATTGTGGACTCACTTGTTGGTGATTGTGGACTCACTTGTTGGTGATTGTGGACTCACTTGTTGGTGATTGTGGACTCACTTGTTGGTGATTGTGGACTCACTTGTTGGTGATTGTGGACTCACTTGTTGGTGATTGTGTACTAAATAATTTATGTTTCCTGGGTTAAGCTTCGGCCATTTTGTCCCGCCTTTCATCTGTCAATCAACTGAAGTACTCGTTCCTAAGCCTATTGGGCTCTATCATATCTACATTTGAAACTGTGTATGGAGTCTGCCTTCACCACATCACTTCCTAATGCATTCCATTTGTTAACTGCTCTGACTGTGAACAAATCTGTCTAATGTCTCTGTGGCTCATTTGGGCACTCTATTTCCAGCTGTGTTTCCTTGTGCGTGTTCCACTCGTGTTAAATAATGTTTTTATCTACCCCTGTCAATTTCTCTGAGAATTTTGTGTGTGATACTCATGTCTCCCCTAAGTCTTCTGTCTTCCAGCGACGTGAGATGCAATTCACGAAGTCCTTCCTTGTAACTCATACCTCGTAGTTATGAGGTATACCACCATACAAGTCTTGTGGCGTACCTCTGAACCTTCTTAAAATTAGTCTTATGCTTTATTAGGCATGGACTCCATGTTGAGGCTGCATACTCCTGACATATGTGGCATACAGGGTTCTAAATGAGTCCTTGCACAAATTCCTAAAGGCAGTTCTGATATTAGACAGCCTCGCACACGACACTGATGGTATCCTTTTTATGTGGTCTTCGGGAGACAGGTTCGATATGATTTCAACTCTCATACAACAGACAGTATGATTCTTCACTCTGCCTTTTTCATGGAGGTTTTCGTCTCCCATTTAGTACCTTGTATGCCCCTAACACGCCCCCTCAGCCCCCGACCCCCATTGCCGACACCACTTCTCACACACCTCCTGACTCTCACAACCTTTGTAAGGCCAATATCTGAGCATATTTCAGAATACGCTTGGTTAAAAGGTGGAGTCCAGGAGCTAGAGGACACCAAGCCTCAAGCACACAAAAGTGAACAAAATTATAGGTGAATACATTCACGCTGCCGAATTAACTTGCCTTTCCGACCCAAAATTTAAAGAAATAAGACTCCATAAATAGACTTTGGGGCAGTTTGCAGTAGTTGGGGCAGCCAGTTGTTAAGGGCGGAGGAACCTCCTGTTTTCCCCAAACCTTTGCCTTTTTCAAGACCCAATTAGTGAGTGTTTACGTTGTAACCAAGCTGTGTGGTGGTCTCAACGAGGGTGTAAATTACGGGAGAGTGTCTCGTATTGGCTTACACTCTGCTGGAGGGCCTCCAGTGGCACTCAGATGTGT